GAAACTAAGAATGGTAATAAAAATCCAACTCTGCTAATCATTCTTACATTAAACAACAAATGAAGTTGAACATTTCAAGTTCATTACAGAAGCAGCGATCAGTTAGACACACAAATGAGCTCCTCCAATCTGAAATCCAATGAAAAAGAAACTCCTACATTACAATCAAACAATACAAACAGAGCGAATACTCAGTCTTACACGATCATGTAATGGCCCTTCATGTCAAAATTTTCACACCTTTACTCTTCTTCACACCATTTCTGTTTTCCATCTTAAGTGGCAAAGGAGCAGAAAACAGGAGCTTTTCTTGGTGCGCATGAAGCTGCTCTTTTCTCCGCATTTCTTCCTTCATTTTCTACAACCCTTCTACTGCTCCTCTCACCATCATCACTTACTCCACTCTCCAACACCAACACTTCCTCCTCCTCATCAGCACCCTGATAAGAATTTACACCATCATCTTCAACTGCACCGCTCACATTACAACTCCCACACCCAAACCAATCATCCTTCAGCCTCATCACTAAGATGACAACTGCCATCGGAACATCTTACAATCACTACGATAAAAACCAGCATATCCTAATTCCCACATTCTCACAAAACCTCACACATCCTATCCTACCTTCCATTCCACATCCATGTTACTTACCACTACCTTTCCTTCCACCAATTAAAATCATTCACCTTTCTTTCCACTCCTCCACATCCCCCCCTTCCACCCCTCCACCCACATCTTACCCCCCCTCCTCACTCTAATGCCCTCCGCTCCCTACAACTCAGAATCTTGCTCCTTCCTCACTGGCAGAAATCTTCATAGTCTAGCTAAGTTTTGTCACCAAAAGCCATATACACCCTCAAAATTATGAGCAAGCAGCTTCCTCCCTTTCGTCAATCACCAACTGCATTTACTACTGATGTTTGAACTTTTCTTAACCAACCTCACGCATTTATCTTTGCTTCTTTAACAATAAATCACGTGAAACCTTTCAAACAACACTCAAAGTCAACCCATCTCTATTTAAGTCCCAAACCCGAAACACAAATCCCTACTCGAATCATACCCTTTTCCCAACAATCTACACAAATACATCGGATCCAACCCCTAACGAACATCAAAAATTCCCGAAACAAAAATCTTTTATGAGTTATGGCTTGTGGGTGAGAAAGAGCCTATTAGGAATATAAAAATCAGACCAACAAGCCAAGTCAACTGAGACTTAGAAAAGTGTTATTCTATGAACGTAATAATTTACACTTTGCTACACCACAACAACAGCTTAACTTCCTAGAGGATTTCCGAAGTCATTTCCCCTTAACACGGATAGGTATCTGATGCTGCTCATAAACACATAACTACATTAGCATTTCTTTTTTTTCTACTTTTTATTGAAACGTAAAATAAACCTCAAACAAGAAAATGCCCATGACTAGATTAACCAAAGGAATCAATAGAAATCTAGTTTCGAGGAGCAAGTTCATGGCTATTGAGAGAAAAAGGGATCCGCAGAAATCGAACATGACCACGGCTGGACATAAGAGGAGTTGAGAAGCGTTTAATGTGGAATATTGAGGACTGCGCGAGGTGTTTGAGCTGGGTTAGGGTTCTTGATCTGCGAACAAGGAAGGAGCGAAAATGGGTTTGGATGACGGTGGCCGCGGTGTGGCGAAGGGAGTGGCGGGTGTAGTGGTTGAGAGAGGACTCGAGGGATTCGATGCGGTGAAGGAGAGACGAGATGGCTGAATGGGTTTGGTGTTGGTGTTGAAGGTGGTGGTTTTGGGTGGGGAGGTTAAGGTTGTGGTGAATGTGAGATTTGGTGTAGTTTTGTTGGGAGGGAAGAATAGGGTGAGGTTGGGGCTGAGAGAGGAGTGATGCAACGGGGTGCAGAAGGTGGTGTTGGGGTGGTGGGGTTGTGCAACAGGTATTAGGAGGGTTGTGGTAGCAGCAGCATTGGGTGGTGGCGGTGATGGTTGGAGGAGGAGGAGGAGCTTGGTGGTGGTGGTGGGTGAGTGACACAAGTGGCAAGTGAGAGGCCATATCAGAACGTGTTCGGAGAATCAAGAAACAACTCCGAGGGAAGAAGGGTTTGTGTGGTTGGGCCGAGTGCTTGTAATTCAAAGAGGTAATTTACGAAGACCTCTGACGAATTGGTTTATACCATTATGCCAAAATCAATAAGATATTTTACTTTCTTTGGTAAAAGAGTTTACGATGAAAACATATTTTGATTATATTTTTATATGGTAAACTTGAATGTTGAACTTTAGGTTTTAAATTCTACATATTGTATTGTTTCCTACCATGTCTCTTATTCATTTGAAGTTGTCAGGCAGACTAATAAGTTTATTCATGATCCTCCAATAAGTTATATTGTGCGTTCTATCTTCTTCTCGTTTAAACTATACGAGTGATACATGTCAAAAGACAATGCTCAAGTTAACTTTACTTAATAATGTTATAATAAAAATGATTAATCAAAATTAATTAATCAAAATTAATCCTCTTACCTTCTCTTCTAGACATATATTTATAAATATTATATTTATCATCAGACTCATTTATTACGAATAAATGACATTATTCATATTAATTGTTAACTAATGATCATTATTTTGATTAATTATCCATTAATAGTATAATTGTTCAAATTAATTTCCAAACCATTCTTCCATTTTCTTACTAGATGGTTAGTCGTCTGGTGGCTAACTGGATAAATGATCCTACAGTACATATATTATATTTGTGTAGTTTAATGTGGCGGAAAAAATTAGGAGAGTGAAAGGAGAATGAAATATGTGAGAAATGAATAAGAATTAAGGTGATTTGGTTGGAACAATAAAATATAAGAGAGGGAATAAAAATAAAAATTTATTTTAAAAAGGTAAAGTAAAAGCAATCTTAATTAATTATGTGTTTTCATTTTCAAATACATTTAAGAGTAATGGTTGTCTTGCACAAGAAACTTTTAATCTTACTTCATTAATATTGTGTGATGAACATGATGGTATTGATATACTTTATGATGAGTTTTGCTTTTCATGTTAAGTATGGTTAAGAACAAAATTTGTTATAGTTGATTGTATCATGTGAACTTTCTTTTCCTAATTCTATAACTACAAAACAATTAGAGCATTGTTGGGTGAAATAATTGATTACATAAATTACCTTTTGCATTTGGTTGACATTTTGATTGTACCTTTCATATGAGGTTAAGCAATGTATTATTAAGAAAGTAGTTTTAAAACTATTTTTATTTTTATATATTGAAGTTATTAATACAGGCTTAATGTCTATTTGAAAAAAAGAAAACACCAAAAAACAAAACCTAACACCAAAAAAGAAGATAGGTTTATCAATATAAAGACTCAATTTAGTACAGTTAGATAGTTAGAGGTTTATTCAATTGAAAATTAATTTTTTTTTCAGAGATTTTGTTTTTATAAAAAAAATTTAAGAGATTTTGTTTTTATGAAAAAATTTGTTATTCAATAACAAATTTTAAATACTAAATAAATCTCATGAACTCACGCCAATGGTACTAATTTCAATTTTAATGTACCAGCTACTGTTTTCTAAGTTTTATTGTAGCCGTTAATCCAATTCTGGAAATTGAAATACCAACATTACTAAAGGGTTCTATTCCAACATTGAATAGACAGACCAATAAAAATATTTCACTGAGCCAATGCACAGCTGCCACGTCGCCGTTGTCAAAATTGTGTCAAACTTTTGTTGTCCAAATAACATTTTCCTTCGTAAAATTATAAGTTAAAATATCTCTGCATTTGAATTTTCACTATTGGTAAATCAGTCATACATTTTTGTCTAACTGAAAATTTAATTTAATAACTTTTTCTTAAAGACACAAATGCAAAATATATTTGAAAATGAAGTTTGTAAAAAAAAGAAGCAATTATTGGTAAATATTTGAACCCTATCTGATCATAAATGATTAGATGTGTTACATTTGATAACTTAAACAATAATAACTTTATTATCGATATTCACTTATTTCCAATTCGTTAAGAATTTAATAACCTTTGTATTTAAAGTGCATACACGAGTCATTGTTGGAAAAAAAATACAAGAATTAATATAGTAAAACATAATTACTAGATGATTTGCAAAATGAAACTTAATTACTGAATAAAGTTAAGCCAAATATCCAATCTCTACTGTATTCTCGTTGAAAAACGTTGTTAGTTGTATTTTCTATTAGAGTTTGTTAAATGAATCTATCTTCAATAAGAAAAAAAAAAGAGAAGAGAAAAATATAAAATAACAGAAAAAGATAATCAATTTCTTTTATATTCTTACTAAGGCAAAATAACCTATCTACATATGTAAAAAATATAATTTAATATAACTCTGAACGTAAAAAATATTAAATATATAAACTAGTTAATTAATTTAAAAATTGTCAAATATTTTTAACTAGGAAAAAATATAAGTTAAACTAAAATTGCATACTTACTATGATGGTTAACAGTTAAATGTGAGTTTACTCAGGTATAGTTTTGATAAATACCATAGCTTCAACTTATTTTTGAAATAGCTGAGTGTATGTATAGAGAATCAGAAAATGTGTCGGTAATGATAGAAAGTTCCTATATATTGTGAAAACATAATTCTTAAAAACATAAAAAAGACCCAAAAAAAAGGAGCTTGGGGTATGTAGAAGTATTATTAAGATGGTGGCAAAGTTTGTAGGCACCACATTATTTCCTCTAAAAAATTATAAAATAGTTTTTCTTTTTACTTTAAATGTAATTCATAAATTTAGACTAATAATAATAATTTGATTACATAGAGTAAATTGGAAAGCCTTTGCTAAGAGTTTGTTTGTCTCGCCTAGTTTATATGATAAAGGCTACTAATTTAGATCACAATATCCATTAAAAAAATACCTTTGAGCATGCAAGATTATATGTTCTTGCTGAGACGAAGGTATGATACATCTCGAGTTTTCATCTGCTAAAACAATCTAAAAGTGTATATACTCACCCAAGTTCATATCTAAACTAAAAATTGAGAATTGGATACTCTATTCCAATGCAGAATGAAGGTGCCAAAACAAGCTATGTTCCTAAATATAAGGGGAGATTTCAACTGGCATAGGACTGTGTATGATCATATGCTTTCTTCAGCATAGCAGCATGCTTTTGTCCAGTAAGATGAAAATTATAGACTGTCTCACTATTACACACCACGTTACATATAGCACATATCTTAACTGCTTCAGCTGCTGCCCCACCATCAAGAACCTTCTTTTTCTTTTTCTCCAAGTCTTCAAGGGTTTCAGCTTTTTTTCTCTTAATCTTGTTCCCACTGGTGGTTGATTTGCTCTTGTTGTCTGGTAATTGGGGTCCTATTACGGGATTAGATGACCCAGATGGTTGAACTTGGGTTGATTTCAATGACTCTCTTAGTTTTTCCAAGTTCCTTTTGTGCTTCTTTCCTAATTTATGTTGGTCCAGCACTTCCTTGCCAGTGCATTCTATCTTGCAAACTTCACAATATGCAGGTTGCACAACCTTAGTTTTAGCTTTCTTTTGTTTTTTATTCAGTATTCCATTGCCATGAAGTTGAGCTGCAGTATTTGCCCACCACATAGCCGATTGTTCTGAGCCATTGGATGGTATAGAGATACCCTGCACGGTTGCATGTATTTATGTTTTTATTTCCAAATCTAGATAATAACAGTGGAATTTAAAAAAATGAATGGAGAACTCAGACTTGCATACAGCCAACAAACGAACTTCAATATACTATTCCAATCCTTAATCAAGCAATCTTAAAAACAACAATACAATCAAAACCCAGAGTCACTCAATGAATTTTTCTTTTAACACAGCGTATGCCTTTTTGGGTCACCATGTGATTTGTGCAGCGTATTTGACAATGACTAATCTTCCCCACAAAAACCTGACTAATTTCATGAAAATCTAACCGATCATCTTAGCCGGGTCTCTCCTCCCAGATACATTTTACTCCACTAAGGTCTCTATAAACTTAGTTCTACTCGAACCAACATGTTGGTTGTTAAGCACTTCTTTATAAAACAGATTTCAAATACTATGAATGTAGAGAAAATTACAGAGACTGTAATTTATAAAAGATAATACACAATGAACTTCTAACATAAAGTATAGGCTGAATGACTTAATCAATGTCATGAGCTACCACTCCAATCCTATTAGTAGGTAAAACTTGTTCACTTTCATTTTCACTTTCTCTGCCTTTTAGATTGTTTAGGTCAATTTTTTATGGAAGACCAAAAATAACACGGTCAATGACACAAAGGCAATGGCTGCCAAACAAAATTCATAGTAACTTGAAATCTATAGACAACTTAAATAAATTCAAAATCATAATCCACTCTATTTCAGAAATATATAATAGAATAAATGTTTACATTCCTCTGGTTACATTCTTAACTTCAGATAACTACGACAGAAAGATAGTTGATATCGAGATAACAAACAATGTCAAATTGATTCATGTGAAACCCAAACAATCAGATAACACAGTGTCGCAGTCATAAAACTTTCATTACCCAGATATAGAGGATGTGTATTTAGATTAGCAAGAGGAACATAATGGGTCAGAAGAATAGGTTTATGTAAAACAGTATTGACTAATATGTTAACTCCTCTCATACCCATCCATGGCCCTATATGTCCAGAGTCATTTCAATACTGAAATACAAAACCATTGTATAATCTGCAATTTAGCTATAGCCAATAGAGTAAATTCTAATAATACATGAAATTCTAATGTCAATGAATGAAAATATGAAAGATATAATGAGCATGTCTAAGCGTCCAAACATGGTATCCACTGATTTCTACATGGATTTTACCTCCCTATATCGAAACAAAATAAAAAACAAAACAGTCATACATCATTGGTAGACACTACAAGCATAGTTATCCAATCATCACTATCAACAAATCAATTTCCAATAACACTTCAACTAGCTGCCACTGGACAAGAACATGTTCACTTCGATTTTAATTTTCAACTACTTCATGAAAATAATTGAAATGTACACAAGCAAAGATTTAAAAACTGTGTCAGAACAATTTGAACACAACACAAGGATACAGGGGCGTCCTCGACAGTAGTCCGTATTTGACCACAATTTCCTACAGTATCAAGGATCTCAACAAAACTAGGACCTAGACTGCAACTTAAAACCCTGTTTAAAAGAGACCAATAATTGTTGACCAACATTATAAACATAGCTCTATGCTCTACTCTCTACACATGCAACCACAAAACAGTATAAAATTATTCAAATCAGTCATTATAAACCAGTCACAAGTATAAAAGGAATCAAACTCATGCATACACATTATCCAAATCCGCCTTTTTCCCTTAAAAAAATCAAAACTTTAGCCAAAAACTGAGAAAGAAACAGACACTTACAGGCGCATAGACAGTTGGGTCAGAACCAAATTGCCTAACAGCTTCTCTGGCAGCCCAGTTCTGGTTTACATAGTACCCAGAATCAGAACCAGTCCCAACATGGGTCTGGGGATAGATCAAACTGGGAATGGGAACAGATTCATGATTCGAATACATAATAGGGTTGGAGGGCGGAAGGGAATCAACCCCAGGAGGTTTGAGGGGAAGAGAAGAAGAGGGGTTAGGGTTTTGAGGGTAAGAGGGATAATGGGTGGTCTGAGATGGTGCAGGAGCATAAGATGATGAGGAAGGTTGGGGGAAAGAGAGGAGTGGGGTTTCTGTTTGCAGCGATTCAGCCCAATTGCCGTACTCCATGACTAAATGAGTTTGAGTAGCATGAAGAATTGAATTGAAGATGATGAAGAAGATGAAAAAGAAAGAGAAGATGCTATATGATTACACTAATTCAAACAAAACTACTTGTCTACAAAGTTTCTGAAAATTATTTGTTCTTTTTTAATAAGATACCCAAAATTAACAAATACAAAAAGATAATAACAATTTTCTTTTTTATTTACACGCATGTATCTCCATATTTACCTTATAATAATAATAATAACACATAAACATTAATTATTCGAATTATTACTAAAATAAAAATATTATTAGATTGTATAAAATATATTTTTATAAAATAATTATGAAATTATAAAATAAAATAATTTAATTAATAAACAGAACGGTCGTATGTAAAAAAATAAATATCAAATAATAAACTAATAGTCTTTAACACTTTTGTTTTACTATTGCAAAAATTTTGTTAAATTATAAAATAATATTTATGTTTTTAGTAATTATTTATACTTCTATATAAAAAATAATTTTTGTTCCTATACATTTTCTTTTAAGTTTATCCATAATTTTTATTTATTTTGTAAATATTTTTTTTAATCATAGATAGTTATTTTATATTTTAAAAGTAGTTCAATTTGGTTATTTTATATTTTAAAAATCAATTATGTTAAATATTTTAAAAATCAATTATGTTAAAAAAAGACTTAGAATTGATTTAACCTTTATAATTTGTTTGATACTCAATTATAATTTAGTAATATTAGTTTTAACATTTCAACGACAAAGTTATAATTAACAAGATAAATGCTTGTACATTTCCTCAAATCTTTTAATATGGCTACATCTCTTACAATCTTTACTAAAACATTTCTATTTACCAGTTTTTTAATACAAGCTTTCTATTTATTGATTTCTTACCTATAATGTAAATTTTTAAGGCACAGATTAACAAGACTCCAAATTTTCATTTAGTTTGCTTGCTTAATGAAGTAAATATAGAAAATTCTACCTACAAAATTCTCAAACTAACAAAAGCTTCAAATGAAAATTTATTATTCTATTATTCATGATCAATCCCTAAGAATGACCACCTTGATTACATTTAATGCGTACCAAATCCTTTATTACACTTGCAAGAATTTTATAACACTTGCAAGAATAAATTCGCCTAACATTAATTCCATAAAATTTCTTCTCGTACAAAAAGAAAAGAAAAAAAAAACACCTTTGAGTCTAAGAGCGGTGCTTCAAATGTCGTGCATAAAAAGGCATCTACAAGATCCTTTTAATATTGTAACTTTCTCAAAGTAAATTTTTCTTTAGAATACAGAATAAGAGGTACATTGATTATTATTTTAGTTAAAGTATATTGAAACGTCAACCATTAAAATTTATATGAATTTTGATACACTCTAATTTTTCTTGTAGGCCCTTCTTGCCACCTCAAATATTACTCTCAATATTACATAAATTTTCACTATGTGATATTAAAAGAAGATTAATAAAACAAAATAAGTTTCTCTGGTACATTCATAACAGACTGGAGTAAAGCAACAAGGAAGAACATAAAACCTCCCACTTCCCCACAATTTTTACCTCATTTATGTCAACTATTATGAGAAAGATAAGGAAGAAAAGAAAAACTAAAAAATAATAAAGAATCAAACTGACTGCCTCAATACTTGACTGATATTGCAGTATACTTGATTAATGATCTATCTTATGCCACAGCAGGCATGTCTTTGAGCCATGGATCCAGTGGCTTACCAATTGAGTAAACTATGAAGCCAATCTCACGTAGCTTATCAGCATCCACAACGTTTCTGCCATCAAAAACAAATGCTGGTTTTTGCATGTTGTCAAATATCTTCTGGTAATCAAGAGTCTTGAACTCATCCCACTCGGTTAGAATGCAGAGACCATGGGCATCCTTTGTTGCTTCATAGGCATCCCAAACCACACTGACTTTCTTCACAGTAGTGGGACTTGTGGGCTGCAGGTGGATCGGATGATCCCAATCAAACTTGTTCATTGATAGATCCCTCTGGATTTGGTCCTCAGTTACTTGTGGATCATATATGCTCAGGTTGGCCTTATCGCCAAGTAGTCCCTGGCATACATCAATGGCAGGGGTCTCCCTCGTATCACCAGTGTCTTTCTTGAAGGCAAATCCAAGAATAGCAATCTTTTTGTTTGAAACAGTGTTGAACATTGATGAAACTACACGGTTCACAAACCGACTCTTCTGATAGTCATTGATCTTGATAACTTGTTTCCAATACTCTGCCACCTCTGGAAGGCCATTGCACTCACAGATGTAAACAAGGTTCAAGATATCCTTCTGGAAGCATGATCCACCAAAACCAACACTAGCATTGAGGAACTTGGGTCCAATCCTTGAGTCCGTACCAACAGAATAGGACACCTGTTGAACATTTGCCCCCGTAGCCTCACAGAGTGCTGACATGGCATTAACAGATGAAATCCTTTGGGCCAAGAAAGCATTGGCAGCAAGCTTAGACAGTTCTGCTGACCAGAGATTTGTGGTGAGTATTCTTTCTTCGGGAACCCATTGAGAATAAACATCCTTCAAAGCTTGAATAGCTTTTTGGCCCTCTGGGGTCTCCCTGCCTCCAATAAGAACACGGTCTGGTTTAAAGAGATCCTGGATTGCAGTTCCCTCAGCAAGGAATTCTGGGTTTGATAGAATCTGGAATTTGATTCCCTTGCTGTTGTGGGTTAGAATCTTCTCTATGGCCTCAGCAGTTTTGACTGGGACTGTGGATTTCTCTACCACAATCTTGTCAGACTTTGAGACATCAGCAATCATGCGAGCTGCGCTCTCCCAATATGTCAAATCTGCTGCTTTGCCAGCTCCAAGACCCTGAGTTTTAGTTGGGGTGTTGACAGAGACAAAAACTATGTCAGCCTCGAAGACATGCTTTTCAACATCAGTGCTAAAGAAGAGGTTCTTGCCACGGCATTGATTCACAACACCATCAAGACCAGGTTCATAGATAGGAAGCTGGTCACTGTTCCAGGCAGCAATGCGGGATTTAGAGATATCCACAACAGCCACTTCAATGGATGGGCACTTAAGTGCAATAACTGCCATTGTAGGACCCCCCACATAACCAGCGCCAATGCAGCAAATCTTCACCATTTTGCTTTTCTAAATAACCAATCGAAATCAGATTTTAAACAGGTCAGAGTTAGAACACAAGCTTGCAACATAAGTCACTTACATGCCTTATACAACTATCACTTTACATAATAGTATTAAAACATTATGATATACACTATCAGATTCTGCAAATTGCAACTATTATCATCTAGGAAAAAAAGGAAACAGGTCACCACATCTACCAGGTTTCTTACTTTTGAGAAGTCATATCAAGCATCATCCTTTTGTTCTACCTAGACTTTAGGATCTAAGACCTGGCCAATCATGGCCAACAGAATTGCATGTTTCTATTTTCGAACAGTTCCTACCCAGCATCTTGGAATCAATACCATGTAAAAATTCCATATCAGAAAACAAGAAATCTGATTAAAAGAGTCGAAAGTCAACAGATGAACATGACCCAACGATGAAGTAGGAACCAATATGCGAGCTTATATGAAACCAGATCTAGAACACACATGCAAACACATGTGATTTGATGACAATCTTCAGTATGACTACTAGACAACCAGTAATATCAAAGCAGATCTAGCACCAAGAGCAGAAGCATGAACTAAATGCACGTGGTTTCATAGCCAAATGCCACCAATCCCAGCAGATCCACAGTCAATTTTGCTTCAAAACAAGGTGACAACAAAACCCACCGACAAAATCCACTAAAGCATCGAAATTTAACAACACAGCAACAAAAGAAAGCGAAAACTGCCACAGATCTGTCTCACTTTCACACAAGCCAGAGCAAAACCCAGCAATCACAGATAAAAAAATATATCAGCAAACAAGCAAAACAGCACGATCACACACAAACATAGCATAATTTTCAAACCTCGAATGTTTGATCAAACAAACAGAGCATAATATTTCACATGAGAGGCAGTAAAAACAGAAAATGAGAGTGTCGGAAACATACCTCCTCCGGAAAAAGAAAGATGAATCCCTTTGACTAAGGGAGAGAGAAAGAAGAAAATTATGTTATGCTGAGAACGAGCGTGACCAAGGTTATATATACGCAACGAAAATCCACCAGCCAAACATGTTATTACCAAAACGGACACCATTGCAGTCGGTGTAAAAAATCTTTCTATTCTTTTCAAATTGAATATCATATATATATATATATATATATATATATATATATATATATCATTTTATTTATTAAAAAATAATTCCTTGTTTTCATTATTATTTATAAGATAATATAAAAATAAAAACACTCACATGTATGAATTGAATTTGCATCTTGAAGCAAATATGAATCTACTTGTTTTAAAAAAAAAGATAAACATATACTAGTGTTAATTATTTTTATATTATCGTGTTTAACTAAAAATATTCATCAACTTTATTATATATATATATATATATATATATATATATATATATATTAAAGAATTTACTGAAGGATGGTGTGATAATCACAAATTTTTCATTCATATTATCTATCACTATTTGATTATTATAAAATGAGTGTAGTTTTCTATTATACCCCTAGATATATATTTGAATTTGTGTTATGGAAAGGGTTAAAAGTGGAAATTGAAGTGATTTTACAGAAATGGGCATGAGTTGATGGTTTTGATTCTAACGCAACTGGCAAAGATGGGTTTACAGCTTATTCGCGCGTTCCACGCGTTTTGCTTCCTTTCATTTTTCTGGGAGCGAGTCAACTTCAAGCTGAGCATTCTCACAACAACATCCTCCAACTTAAATATACTTTCATTAAAATATAATTAACACTATAATCAATAATAATAACAACATATTCTCTTCATTACATTTTCCTTTGTTTTCGTCTTTTTTGTTCAAACTTAGATTTGCAACTAACTTTAATTGATTGTTTAAGTTGTTAATTAAGAAATCCCATATTAGTTGTACCACGTGCAAGGGAATTAAAGAATATGCATTAGACGTAAATAATGTGCGATTGAAGTAAAGACGTTGGAATATATTTGAT